CATGAACACTGTAGGGGCAGCTCCAAGCAAGGCTGAATGCAGGTCTTGGAAGCCCAGGCCCTTCGAGGAATGAATGCCTTCCAACCAGCTACTAAACCTCCTGCTGATTGTACTTGAACTGATGTAGCCTGTGCCCTTCAGACAGGCCTAATGAACACTCATTCACTTCTTGGTCATATTACTCATGTTATAAGGGTGTTATTCATATTACTTGTATTATTAATCGTATTCATTGGGTGCTTAAAATTGTGCTGCCTTAACCTCTCCCCGAAAGCTATACTTTTAAATTCAGCAGCTTACCCCTTTTATGACCCACCTTCTCTCTCTCTCCCTGTAGCGGGACTGGTGGACCAAGGTATCGGGCTAACCGCTTGAGCTGGAGGCCTTGGCTCCGTCCCACCGTCCAGTGTGCAGGAAGGAGGGGTACCTGGGACCATCTTTGAAGAGAGTCGTGGAATGTTAGGGTATGTAAGAGTTAAGTAGAGACCTGGGAAACTGCTGGTGTGCAGACACAGTATTAGGGAGTAGAAGCACAGCAGGCACCTTTTCTGCGCTTAGTAGATAAAGTGCTACCCCTCTCCCTTCCCTTCTGCTGGTTAAGGATAGATAAGTGTTCAAGCTGCAAAAGGAATGTGATTGTCACTCCAAAGCATACTCTTTGTGTAAAAAAGTGTTCTCTCTCCACTCCCTTCCTTTCCCAGCTACATAAATGAGCCAGGGGTCATGGCTCCTTCCTCCTTCCCCTGTGAACTGCTGATTAAGGGAACTTGTGGCTGCAATTACTTCAAATAAATGTAACTTCAGGGTAGAAGTGTCTGTAGAATATGTTTAATGCTTTAAACAGTAAACAGGAGTAGGGATAATTATATTCAGTATATGGGCATTCATATTACTAAATGAGGGGTTTGGGGGGTGTTGTTGTAAAAGTAGTTATTTACATATTAACTTAAATTTAAAAAGTGTAATGTTATTAATTCAGTGCTTACTTGACAATTGGGTCAAGGGGAACAAGTACCGCAATAAAGAAGGCCATTTACTCAATCTGCCTCTGGGTCCCCCTGGTGGTCTTTTCATCACTAACAGCAGCCACCTGAGCAAACCAATAGGAAATTCTAAGGTGCAGGGGGTGGCCTAAACCCACCCTCCTCAAAGTGGGTTATGCACCAATCTCCACTAGGGATTCACAGCTGTGAAACTTGGAATTAGGTACTGAAACTATTTCTCACCAAAAAACTGAGGAGGAGTTGCTGCCACCCCATCTTACAACTTTTAGCTCTGTTGGTAGAGCACTTGACCCCAGTGTAGAAGTCTTGGGCCCAAATCCCGCCTCCCAGTATGGAGCAGGGAGTTGAACCCACATCTCTGACCTCTCAAGAGCATGGCCCTAACCCCTAGTACGGGCATGCTCTGTCACTTGTACAGCTTTGTCTGTTGAAGCCATTCAATTTTGTATTAAATATTTAAACTGTAATTGGGCGAAGGCAACATTGAGAAGGACTCTATGGCCCAGTGGATAGGGGACTCTGCTCATATGTGGGAATCCCAAATTCAAGTCGCTGTTCTAATAAATATTGTAATTACTTATACAAATAATTAGTTAAACACAGTGGAATAGCTCAAATAGGAGATCTTGAGGAAGACATATGCCAGAATAAACCATTGCCCAGTAGTTAGGGTAATCACCTGAGTGACCTGAGTTTAAGTCCCTGCTCCACATCAGGATTTGGACCTAGGCCTCCTCTGACAGAGTGTGCACGCTCCAGGGTATAACGCAACCACCACCAAGTGGTGTGAGCTTTACGAAAAAAAGCTGACCTGACTTACTAACTCCAGGAGAGAGTTCACCTATGTGGAGAAAAGTGCCCAACTCCCACTGCAAGGAAAGGCTTAGGCCACACCCTTGTCCTTGGCATTCCCCGCTGTCTGCTTTCGGTGCCTCCTTACTCAACGTGCTGGCTTCTGTGACCCCCAGTCTAAGGGTATGTCTACCTTTTGAGCTGGGAGGAGTCGTGCCCAGATCACCGAGAGGTACCATACTAGTGCTGCCCAACCTAGCACCTAAAAGTAGCAGTTTGCTGTGGCAGCACTGATCCCCATGTAGGTTGCTGAGGGTTGGGAGGGCTTGTACTCAGGCAACCTAGGCTGAGCTAGTGCCTGTGTGTTGCTAGCTTGAGCACAACTAGGGCAGATATGTCTATGCAAGCTGGGAATCACACTTCCAAGCTCAAATGCAGATGTACCTTTAGGTGCCTGTTTCTTGCTAGCCTTTGAATAGCGTGCCTGGGTGCCTAAATTAGGATGGTGGACTACACCAGGGGAATCAATAACATAACTGTTGCAATAATGCAGCTACATAAATGAGCTTGGGGCCAGGGCCCCTTCCTCCCTCCCCTGTGAATTGCTGATTAAGGGAGCTTGTGGCTGCAATTACTTCAGATAAATGTAACTTCACACAATAATGTGAAAAGTTGCAGCCTTCACACAATTTTGGGGAAAATGGGTGTGTTTTTTTCAGCTTTTATAGTGTAAGTGTGTGCTTGTTTGTGTTTGCCACAGGTCCAGAATTTGGTTCATTCACAACACATAGCACCCCATCAATGTTCACTTTCTCTTTATTAATTTCTCACTCTCATTTGTGTGGAATCTAATACATTCATCTGTGTGACAGCACTGGTCTAATTTCCAGTGTATTATATACAATGAAAGATAAGATAAGAATTGTCAACTCATTCACACACTATGCCATGCCTGCATCATGTTGCTATTCAAATTAGCTGCAAGCTTTCATCTTTATCTCTGTTTTTCAACAAATCCTTCCCACTTTACTGTGTTTAAAATATCTGTTTGTACTTTAGGGATTTTCATTAAGTTTGTAAATGAAATATACAAATCTTTAATTTGAAAAAGGAAAAATAATTAAGACACTCAGTTTAAATTTTAACCAGAAAAGTAAATGTTTTCTATACAATTGTGCTAAATGTCTGCATCCTTTTTTTGTTGCATGGACCAAAACATTTTGGCAGAACCATGACCAACTGCTAATAGTGATGGGCAGAACTCAAAAAGGTCTCAATCCGTATCCCAAACTTCTTGGTACGGCAATTATGTTATAAATCTCCCAGGATTAAGGTTTCTAGTGAGACTTCCAGAAGGTTCTGATTTGGGCCAGCAAGCAAGAAGTGTGTAATTCAGGAAGTGCAGAAGTGTTCAATTACCCTTAAAGTTTCCTCTTCCATATACCATAAAAAGCTGTAGTTTGATCTGAGTTTGAACCTTTTTGCCCATCTTTTGTTACTATTTTATGATTGGCTTAACATTAGTTTTAAAATATGCATTGTGACCAAAAGTAAAAATAAGTGATTACATGCATCAATTCAGACAATCAAGGCTACAATACAGACAAAGTGGACAGTACAAATAATTAGTTAATGGATTCTGATCCTCAGATCTGAGTTAAAATAATCTGCTTGATGGTTCTTTTTATTCATCCTCAAGTACCTGTCAGAGAGAGAACAAATACTACAAAATTAATTTAGTACATGTCAATTTTTTGAAAGAAGTATTACATACAAATCCCCTATAGGTTTTTCACAGGAACAGAATAGTGATTTCAACAGAATGGCATAAAAATCACACTGGATGATTTTAACCATCTTTGGAAAGTAAACGGAACAAACTCCATCAAACGTAATTGCAGTTATCCCTGAACTGCAGTGGTTCAACTACTTTTCATATTGAAAACAAATATTTTCTCTTAAGTGGAACTTAAAAGCAACACAGAAAACCATGCATTGAAATCCCTTCACCATATGAAGCCAGAGGCTAGTTAGGTCTTAACAACAGTCTCTGCGGTAAGGATCTCATTATCTTTTCTCACCGAATGCCCCAAAGGTACTACTAACCACCAAATTTGGCTGCAAAGAGAGAGTATCCCTTATACTGGTTCCCATCCCACTATTAGAAGGGATGCTTTTTAGGCACTGACTTCATCATATACAGTCAATAGTCCCCTTGCATTGGAATGCTGCCAGATGCCAGTTGGTTTATATATCAGTGATTTCCTGAATACAGAGCTGGCTAATGACCAGATTACGGGGGACTCACAAGTGTGGTGGCTTACATAGAGTGTGTTTTAAAACATTTCTAGTCACTTTCCATAAACCTTTTGAGTCTGGATGTTTGGCTCAGCTTGTACTGAATCAAAGAATGGTGGGAAAGCTGTGGGGAGTCTGGCCCACTGCCATTTGCTCTAGTGTAAATTTCCTTCAACACTCGCCTTGAACAGGAGCTGTGTGTGTTGTGTTCTAACAGAGAACTGTTATTCCGAAAACAGGCAGATTTAGGCACTGACTAGACAGCTGCCACCTAGGGCCCAACATTTCAGAGGGGGCACCTATGACCCTGGGAGAAGTTCCACTTCAAGAAGAAGTCATCTAGCTCAAAGATCACAAACTCTTGGAGCTCATCCTCAGAGTATAGGATGCACAAGGAGGTAGCTGGGTAGGAACACAAGTTTCCCTGTCCTGATGAGGGGAAGGAGAAAACAAGTTCCCCTTGGGGGAGGGATAGCTCAGTGGTTTGAGCATTGGCCTGCTAAACCTAGGGTTGTGAGTTCAATCCTTGAGGAGGCCTTTTAGGGATCTGGAGCAAAAATTGGGGATTGGTCCTGCTTTGAGCAGGGGGTTGGACTAGATGATCTCCTGAGGTCTCTTCCAACCCTGATATTCTATGATTTCATACATATTCTATATTTTATCAGTATCCATGGTGTAGCAACTAGCAGTTGAAGGTGATGGAATTTTTGGAGCAGGGATCTTTAAACTGTTTCATCCCATGGTTCCCTATCAGCTGCTTCCAGCGAGCCCTCTTTATATCTAGCCATGAATTATTTGCTTCTGTTCACATCATGCTATTTAAACCCTAGAATTCCCCAGGAAAAATTAAGAAATCTTTTAGTTAGATGATTCAACAGTATTGTAGTTTCACTGGAGATTACTTACCGATTCTCTTACATTTAGGATATGCCAATTTCCCCTCCACACACTGTACTCTAAATACAGAAGAAGGTGGATTGCTCGCATATCCATTTTTACAGTCAAATTCAATAAAATCTCCACCTTCTGAATACAATTTCATTTCCGTCCTCCATCTCAGCCTAATGTTGTTTTTCTCCATCACTTCTGGGGATGTTGTACATGGCTCTGGAAAAATAAAAATGTAATTAAATTATGTACATCTGGATTGTCATTGGAAAGCGTATTTGCTGTAACTGTATTGAGACTGACCCTGTCCCCAAATGCAATACATAATTTAAAAAAAGCCCAGGGAAATATTTTTAGATAAGATCTGAAAACTAAAGAAGACACAGTAAGGTTGAGAGACCAAGAAGGAACTCTAGAGAAGGAGGCTTTCCCACCAACCGAGGAGATATTGAAGGGACAGAGAGGAGAGGGAAGGGACAGAGAGAAGACTGAGGCTAGATGAACAGAGAGAGACAGGATTTGATTCTCTTTTATAAGCTGGCCACTTTGTGATACTCAGGTGGTGCAAATGGGCCAAAACTTAGCCACAGCTGACCAACAGAATGCTCTCCTTGCAGAAGGATACTCTCTGCTGGGAGATCTGTCTTCCTATTGACCTCCCCCACTCCTTGGTTGTATTACCAAGAACAAATCATGCCAAACCAGTTTGATTTATTTCTTTAACAGGATAACTAGTTTGGTGGGTAGGAGAAATGCGGTGGACATAATATACCTGGACTTCAGCAAGGCTTTTGACACCATCCCACATGAGAAATGCAGGCTTTGTGGAGCTACCATTATTTAGAATTTAGGTGGGAAGGCTATGAGAGGTACAGAGGCAGCAATGTAGTGACTCAGGCCATGGAAGAGTAAATGAGGATGACTGGATATGAAAGCTGCGGGATGCACATGATCCTAGAGCGTGTACTTTGAAAGAGATTTCTTTGTATGAAGTGCCGCTTGATAGAGCAGAGGGAAGAGAAGATACAAGGCTTGGAGATGCAGGTGGAAACTATGGTTGAGTTTTGAAGGGGATTCGAGCAGGCAATGGAGGGAAGACAAGAGGAGACTGAAAGGAAAAGTCAAGACTTACAGATGCAAGCTGGACTGAGGAACTCAGAAGGAAGACTTCTAGGTAAGGAAAGTGGTTAGTGGAAGCATGTGACTACAAGAACCAGGCAGAGGAAAAGACCAGCTAGTGGAGGTGAAATAGAGCTCAGGAACAGGTTTGCTCAGTTGGAAAATGAAGATGGGGCAGAGCAGGCTGCAACTGCAGGAGGGAGGGCAAGGAAGAAGAGAAGAGCAGCTAGTCCTGTAAGAAGAGGGGAAGAGCCAATGGAGATACTCAGAGTTCAAAGCCTCAGGAGGATACTGGATGACTTGCAGAAGATTGCAAAGGAGAATAAAAGACAAGAGGACTCACAGACAGAAAGAACCAGAGGAAGGATGGAGAATCACACCGTCAGCAAGAAAAGGCAGATATATGTGATTTGTGATTCCCCACTAAGAAGAACGAACAGGCCTGTCACCAGAGCTGATTCAGAGAACAGACAGGGGTGTTGTCTGCCAGGAGCAAAGATACAGGATGTGGAACTGAGGCTGAAGAGGATCCTAATGGGAGCAGGAAAGAATCCACTGATTGTCCTTCATGTGAGAACAAGTGCAGGCTTAAACTATGTAAATGGTGAATTCTCTGTAAACTGAAGTATTTAAGCCATGATTTGAAGACTTCAGTAACTCATCCGGAGGTTAGGAGTCTATTTCAGGAATGGACAATATTCTGTGGCCTGCAATGTGCAGGATGTCAGACTAGATTATTATGATGATCCCTTCTGACTTTAGAGTCTATGAGTCTAAGAGGACCCATAATTGGTTTAACAACCACAAAGAGTAAGTATTAATGGAAGGATGTTAGATTGGAGGGAGGGCTCAAATAGGGTTCCACAGGGATCTGTTCTGAGCCCAGTATTGTTTAATATCTTTATTAATGACCTGGATGTAGGACTAAAGAGCATACTGATCAATTTGAAGGTGACACAAAGCTGGGAACGGGTTGGGGGTTACCAACACTTTAGAGGATAGAGCAGCCCTGAAACAAGCCCTAAATCAGGAGCTGGAGATTTTGCAAAAGGTATTTAAGCAGCAGTGGGAGGATTCCCAGAAAGGACTAATATATGATCTGCAGTCTCAGATGAAATATTTGTTGAGGCAGCAGCTACAAAGTGGCCAGGCAGACTGAGAAGGCCAGCTGGAACACTCCCCAGTCTGGAATGGCAAGGAAGATAAATGAGGTGACCAGTAAACTGACTCATGGAACAGAAGGTTTCCTAGGAAGTAGAGGAGATTAGGGGAGCTTTGCCTAACATTGAACTTGTTCACAGTGCTAGCTGCAGCAAGGATTTAGGAGCTAAAAATCCGCCTCAGAGGGAAATCAAGGTAGTGCAGACACACAATGGAAGTCAGCGGCCTGGATGAGGAATTGGGCCAGCCAGAGAACCTGGGTCAGGCAAGACACTTATACTTTTCTACTCTGTTAGTAACCCACAAAGGCCCAGATGTCACCCCTCGCTATGATGTCACTCTGCCATACATTTTTTGTATTATTTAAATCCTAGAATTCCCCAGTAAAAATTAAGAAATCTTTTAGTCAGATGATTCAACAGTATTGTAGTTTCACTGGAGATTACTTACCGATTCTCTTACATTTAGGATATGCCAATTTCCCCTCCACACACTGTACTCTAAATACAGAAGAAGGTGGATTGCTCGCATATCCATTTTTACAGTCAAATTCAATAAAATCTCCACTTTCTGAATATAATTTCATTTCCGTACTCCATCTCAGCCTAATGTTGTTTTTCTCCATCACTTCCAGGGATGTTGTACATGGCTCTGGAAAAATAAAAATATAATTAAATTATGTACATCTGGATATGTCATTGGAAATCGTATTTGCTGTAACTGTATTGAGACTGACCCTGTCCCCAAATGCAATACATAATTTAAAAAAAGCCCAGGGAAATATTTTTAGATAAGATCTGAAAACTAAAGAAGACACAGTAAGGTTGAGAGACCAAGAAGGAACTCTAGAGAAGGAGGCTTTCCCACCAACCGAGGAGATATTGTGGGAAGGGACAGAGAGAAGACTGAGGCTAGATGAACAGAGAGAGACAGGATTTGATTCTCTTTTATAAGCTGGCCACTTTGTGATACTCAGGTGGTGCAAATGGGCCAAAACTTAGCCACAGCTGACCAACAGAATGCTCTCCTTGCAGAAGGATACTCTCTGCTGGGAGATCTGTCTTCCTATTGACCTCCCCCACTCCTTGGTTGTATTACCAAGAACAAATCATGCCAAACCAGTTTGATTTATTTCTTTAACAGGATAACTAGTTTGGTGGGTAGGAGAAATGTGGTGGACATAATATACCTGGACTTCAGCAAGGCTTTTGACACCATCCCACATGAGAAATGCAGGCTTTGTGGAGCTACCATTATTTAGAATTTAGGTGGGAAGGCTATGAGAGGTACAGAGGCAGCAATGTAGTGACTCAGGCCATGGAAGAGTAAATGAGGATGACTGGATATGAAAGCTGCGGGATGCACATGATCCTAGAGCGTAAACTTTAAAAGAGATTTCTTTGTATGAAGTGCCGCTTGATAGAGCTGAGGGAAGAGAAGATACAAGGCTTGGAGATGCAGGTGGAAACTATGGTTGAGTTTCGAAGGGGATTCGAGCAGGCAATGGAGGGAAGACAAGAGGAGACTGAAGGGAAAAGTCAAGACTTACAGATGCAAGCTGGACTGAGGAACTCAGAAGGAAGACTTCTGGGTAAGGAAAGTGGTCAGTGGAAGCATGTGACTACAAGAACCAGGCAGAGGAAAAGACCAGCTAGTGGAGGTGAAATAGAGCTCAGGAACAGGTTTGCTCAGTTGGAAAATGAAGATGGGGCAGAGCAGGCTGCAACTGCAGGAGGGAGGGCAAGGAAGAAGAGAAGAGCAGCTAGTCCTGTAAGAAGAGGGGAAGAGCCAATGGAGATACTCAGAGTTCAAAGCCTTAGGAGAATACTGGATGACTTGCAGAAGATTGCAAGGGAGAATAAAAGACAAGAGGACTCACAGACAGAAAGAACCAGAGGAAGGATGGAGAATCACACCGTCAGCAAGAAAAGGCAGGTATATGTGATTTGTGATTCCCCACTAAGAAGAACAAACAGGACTGTCACCAGAGCTGATTCAGAGAACAGACGGGGGTGTTGTCTGCCAGGAGCAAAGATACAGGATGTGGAACTGAGGCTGAAGAGGATCCTAATGGGAGCAGGAAAGAATCCACTGATTGTCCTTCATGTGAGAACAAGTGACACAGCTAGGTTCTTGCTGGAACATGCCAAGGGAGATTATACCAACCTGGGGAAGACATTTAAGGAAATGGAGGCTAAGGTTATCTATCTTATGGTATTCTGCCTGTCCCTAGAAAATGGAGGTGAGACAAGATTATGATGATCAACAGATGGCTCTGGGATGTTTGACCACTGGGAGGCTCACTCATGGAGAGAGGACAGTTCTCATGGGATGGACTCCACCTGAATAGGGAGGGAAATAGACTTCTGGGATGGAGGTTGACACAACTCATTAAAAGAGCTTTAAACTAGGAACTCAAGGAAGATGCTTGTGTAATCTCCATACCTGATTTTAACATCGAGAGGGAGGAAACTCAAGTAAAAAAGGATACAGGAATGGAGACAGGAACATCAGTAAGAGAATGGATATTAAGGGGAAGGATAGTGCTGATACCAGTCAGGTAGGCAATACTGGCAGTAGGATGACCATACCCAATCGGGTGAGGAATGTGGGCGAAGCCAAACAGCAACACTTAAGATGTCTGTACACCAATGCAAGGAGCCTGGGTAACCAAATGAAGGAACTAGAACTACTGGTACAGGAAGTGAAACCAGATATTATAGAGATGCAGAAGATCTGGATGACATTGTAAACTGGAAATGGATTAATTCCATAAGTGTGAATGGAGTCACTCCTCATTTACACCACAGTACGTGTAGGGGACACTCACATTCTTTCTATTGACATCAGTGCAGACTTTTCAAAAGAGAAGATCAGCAAATGGCACACACCCACACCACACCACTATACGTATCTAGAATGCACCCATAAAACACCTCCATTAAAAACTCTAAAAACATATTATAATCCAGCCAACATTTACTGTAAGTGAACAGATGTATTCAAACATATTTTTAGTTGAAAACTTTACAACTACAGCAGATGCTGTGAAATACAATTTAGTAACTTATGGAAAACCATGAGGAATATCGGTCGCTACTCTTCAGTGCTAGGAGTAGACATGGTGCTGTCTGAGCAGTCGGGGATTCCACTTTTGTGCAGGGGGAGCTCTAACTGGCATGAAACTAGGTAGCCTGCTCTATGCCACCCTCTCTCCAGGGGATGAAATTTAATAGTGCAATGTGCAAGGTCATACATTTTGGGACTAACAACAAGCTATAAACTGGGGACTTGTCAGTTGGCAGTGACAGAGGAGGAGAAAGATCTGATGTACTGTTTGATCACACAAGGACTATGAGCTGTCAATGTGATGCGGCCATGAAAAGGGCTAATGCATCCCAGGATGCATCAGGCAAGGTATTCCCAGTAGAGACACAGAAGTGTTAGTACCGTTATACATGGCACCAGTGAGACCTCATCTGGAATATTGTGTGCAATTTTGGTTTCCTATGTTTAAGGAAGATTAATTCAAACTGGAAGAGCTGCAGAGAAGGGCTACTAGGATTATCTAAGGAATGGAAAACCTACCTTATGAGAGGAGACTCAAAAAGCTTGGCTTGTTCAGCCTACCCAAAAGAAGGCTGAGGGGAGATATGATAGCTTTCTCTAAATACATCAGGGGAATCAATACCACAGAGAGAGAAGAGTTATTTAAGTTAAGCACCTATGTGGACACAAGAACAAATGACTATAAACTGGCCATCAACAAGTTTAGGCTCAAAATTAGGTGAAGGTTTCTAACCATTACAGGGATGAAGTTAGGGAACAGCCTTACAAAGGCGAAAAACCTAACTGGCTACAAGACTGAGCTTGATAAGTTTATGGTGGGGATGGTATGATGTGACTGACAACGATGGCATGGGGCCCATCAGCGACTGCCAGTAAAAAAATCCCTAACTGCTGGAGACAGGACACTAGATGGGGAGGGCTCACTACAAATAATTATTTCCCAGATATCTGCCTGGTGGGTCTTGCCCACATGCTCAGGGTCCAACTGATTGTCATATTTGGGGATGGGAAGGAATTTCCCCCCATGTCAGATTGTCAGAGACCCTAGTGGGTTGTTGCTTTCCGCTACAGAATGGGATATGGGTCACTTGCAGGCTTAAACTATGTAAATGGTGAATTCTCTGTAAACTGAAGTATTTAAGCCATGATTTGAAGACTTCAGTAACTCATCCGGAGGTTAGGAGTCTATTTCAGGAATGGACGATATTCTGTGGCCTGCAATGTGCAGGATGTCAGACTAGATTATTATGATGATCCCTTCTGACTTGTGGCACCTTAGAGACTAACCAATTTATTTGAGCATGAGCTTTCGTGAGCTACAGCTCACTTCGTCAGATGTATACCGTGGAAAGTCTGCTGCAGTTTCCACGGTATACATCTGATGAAGTGAGCTGTAGCTCACGAAAGCTCATGCTCAAATAAATTGGTTAGTCTCTAAGGTGCCACAAGTATTCCTTTCCTTCTGACTTTAGAGTCTATGAGTCTAAGAGGATCCATAATTGGTTTAACAACCACAAAGAGTAAGTTTATTTAACATCTTTATAATGACCTGGATGTAGGACTAAAGAGCATACTGATCAATTTGAAGATGACACAAAGCTGGGGAACATCAGGGTTGGGGGGTTTCCAACACTTTAGAGGATAGAGCAGATCTTGATAAATTAAGGAACTGGGCTATAGACAACAAAATGAAATTCAACAAAGACAAATGTAAGATGCTATACTTAGGGAAGAAAAACCAAATGCACAAATATAAAATGTGGGATAACTGGCTTGGTAGCAACACTGCTGAAAAGGATCTGGGAGTTGTGGTGGATCACAATCTCAACACGAGTCAGAAACGTGATACTGTTGCAAAAAAAGCAAATGCAATTTTAGGTTGCATTAACAGAGGCATAGTATGCAAGTCAAAGGAGGTGATAGTACCACTCTACTCAGCACTGGCTAGGCCTCAGCTTTAGTACTGTGTCCAATTTTGGTCACCAATGTATAGATAGGATGCGGAGAAATGGGGAAAGATCCAGAGGTGAGCATAAAAGATGGTCAAAGGGATGGAATGAAAACCATACGGACAAAGGCTGAAGGAACTGGATATGTTTAGTTTGGAAGAGAGGAGACTGGGGGGAAGATGATAGTGGTATTCAAATACTTAAAAGGCTGCCATAGAACAGATTGAGAACAGTTGATAGCTCTTGCCACAGATGGCAGGTCAAGGGGCATTGGGTTCAAACTACAGCATTGAAGATTTAGACTGAATCTCAGGAAAAGCTTCCCAACTGTAAAAACAGTAGGACAATGGAACAGACTGCCTAGGGAGGTTATGGACACTCCTTCACTGGAGGTTTTCAAAAGGAGGCTGGATATGGTTGATTTAGAAACAACAAATTCTGAATCTTCAAGGGTGGTTGGACTAGAGGACCCTTGTGGTACCTTCTAAACCTATGATTCTATGTGACATCACAGAAGAGAAAAAGGGACATGGCAGGCTAGTCCTAAGCTATGAAATCAGGTCCAGGACACACCAGCCCACACAATCAGTTCACCATAATTTAAAAACCACACAGAAGTAGCTGCACAGCTGGGGATCACTGCACCACAGTGTAGTCTAGCCATTCCATCCTCTCACTCTAAGCATGTGGAGGTTGGAGAGAGGGTTGTGTAGAGCAGGCTACCTTAGTTTCATGACAGTTAGAGCTCCCCCTGCACAAAAGTGGAATCCCCTGCTGCTCAGACAGCACCATGTCTACTCCTAGCACTGAAGAGTAGCGACCAATATTCCTCATGGTTTTCCGTAAGTTACTGAATTGTATTTCACAGCATCTGCTGTAGTTGTAAAGTTTTCAACTAAAAATATGTTTGAATACATCTGTTTGCTTACAGTAAATATTGGCTGGATAATAATACATTTTTAGAGTTTTTAGAGATGTTTTGTGGCTGCATTCTAGATACGTATAGTGGTGTGGTGTGGGTGTGTGCCATTTGCTGATCTTTTCTTTTGAAAAGTCTGCACTGATGTCAATAGAAAGAATGTGAGTCTCCCCTACATGTACCGTGATATAAATGAGGAGTGACTCTATTCACACTTACGGAATTAATCTGGTGTTACACCAGTACAAGAGACTTCAAATTGAAATATATGAATATGAAAATTCATACCATAATATGAAAAATACCACAGTTAACTCATCACAGTTCTTTTACATATAATAGATTCTTATATCTACCTAAGCAAACTGGTGGGTCTGTCCATTGGCCAGACTCACAGCTAACAGATGCAGATCCATTCATTCTATAAAAATGTTGACATTTGTATTCCACTTTTGAACCTGGTTCATATTCTTCCTGTGGAAAGACCATGATGTCTCCATTATCAACAGCCGGTGGGTACCCACACTTTCCAGCAGCCTCTAAAATTAAGTATAGAAAAAGAGAATATATGCATCAATATTTACTTACAGTAAATGCTGTAATATCAGAAATATTACACAACAGCACTATCAATGTACTCGGACAGATCAGGAAAAATCCCAAGGGAAAGGTGAAAAAGAACCCTCTTGATATTGGAACTGAACACAAGATACAAAAAATCTTATCTTTAAGATAAGAAGCAGCACGATATTTGTTCATTAACAATTAACAGTGTGGAACTGATGGCAAAACTGATGGCAAAACCAGCTGCTTTACCTTTGTCAAGATATGATTCCATGTTGCTTTTCAAGCAGGCAATGTAGGTTAGTTTGAGATCCGTTGGACCAATCGTTCTGCCTTAAGCACTGACTAGCAGGGAAATGGAAAGTGAGAGGCTTTGGCCCAACCCCTCCCCTCCTTAGGCTCATGTGGGCCAATCAGCTTGCTACTTGTCACTGCATGCATGTTGTCATAAATATAAAGGGAAGGGTAAACACCTTTGAAATCCCTCCTGGCCAGGGGAAAGCTCCTCTCACCTGTAAAGGGTTAAGAAGCTAAAGGTAACCTCGCTGGCACCTGACCAAAATGACCAATGAGGAGACAAGATACTTTCAAAAGCTGGGAGGAGGGAGAGAAACAAAGGGTCTCTGTGTCTGTCTATATGCTGGTTTCTGCCGGGGATAGACCAGGAATGGAGTCTTAGAACTTTTAGTAAGTAATCTAGCTAGGTATGTGTTAGATTATGATTTCTTTAAATGGCTGAGAAAAGAATTGTGCTGAATAGAATGACTATTTCTGTCTGTGTATCTTTTTTGTAACTTAAGGTTTTGCCTAGAGGGGTTCTCTATGTTTTTGAATCTAATTACCCTGTAAGATATCTACCATCCTGATTTTACAGGGGGGGATTTCTTTATTTCTATTTACTTCTATTTTTATTAAAAGTCTTCTTGTAAGAAACTGAATGCTTTTTCATTGTTCTCAGATCCAAGGGTTTGGGTCTGTGGTCACCTATGCAAATTGGTGAGGCTTTTTATCCAACATTTCCCAGGAAAGGGGGGGCGCAAGTGTTGGGAGGATTGTTCATTGTTCTTAAGATCCAAGGGTCTGGGTCTGTAGTCACCTAGGCAAATTGGTGAGGCTTTTTACCAAACCTTGTCCAGGAAGTGGGGTGCAAGGTTTTGGGAAGTATTTTGGGGGGAAAGATGCATCCAAACAGCTCTTCCCCAGTAACCAGTATTTGTTTGGTGGTGGTAGCGGCCAGTCCAAGGACAACGGGTGGAATATTTTGTACCTTGGGGAAGTTTTGACTTAAGCAGGTAAAGATAAACTTAGGAGGTTTTTCATGCAGGTCCCCACATCTGTACCCTAGAGTTCAGAGTGGGGGAGGAACCTTGACACATGTGCAGTACCTACTTTCTCCAGGACCATATTACCATGAAGGGTGCTTGATGTACCCAGCACTTGTCTCAAACTATTGTGAATTATGACATTACCAGGGTATCTGAATATTGAGAGCAGAGAGAGAGACTGAGGGTAAAATAATGGTAAGAGGATACAAGCTAAATAGAAGTTTGGATTATACAGGCCCAAGGAGTGGAATATGAAACACAGAATAACACTGGAATGATAAATGAGTGTAAATAGTATAAGAAATACCACACAAAAATGAGGAGAGAAAGGAAATAAAAAATAAAGAAAGAACCCAAGAACAGAAAAACCTTTGGGTGTCCCTATAATTGATAAAAGCAGAGACACAGCTACACTTTCCCCTTTGGAAAGGCTGCTTGGCCAGGTGGATTTTAAAAAGAATTCATAGAGAAGCCAAACTCATCATTTGAAGTTTACTCTGAAATGCCAACTGCCATTTCCTCTCATTGCTCCTCTTCTCACAGAAAGGGAAGTGGGACCGGGGTAAACAAGGTGAAGTTTTGAAATGGCAAAGGCTAAAAATTACATGAGTAGTAATAAAGCTTTACCTTTACTCATTACATAATTTGACAGGTTTCCCTTCCCCCTTTTTGCTTTATGACCTACCCCTTTTGCCTCTTGTCCCATCGCCAGGTCTCATTTTTGGAAATGTGCATTTCTGGCACTAGTGGCCATTCTGAAAAGAAGAGGGTTTTTTCCCTTTATATTTAATTCATGCTTATTAGCTGCATTAGAACTAAGAAAAAAGTTTGCTTGCCCTTTCCTCATTTTAACAAGAAAATGTATTAAGTGCAATTCTATTATTTTATGCATTTATTATAATTTTAAATCAAGTAATTAAATAATTGTACCAAGTCTTAATGACAGGGGAGTAAAGGAGAAGTTTTAATATATATAATACATATATATGTTGTGATGCTGACAGACCAGCTCAGGCCCGAGCTAAAGGCCAATTCACTTGCGGTATTAATAGAGATCAAAGGAGATACTAATTGTATTGTTTTCCCTCTATCTATATCCTCTTGTTTACTGTTACATTATATTTACATTATACATGCCTGGTAATTAAATAGCTCTAGATCATAGGGTGTGTTAATGTAAGTGTATTCAGGTGTTAGAACTTCATGAAAACTAATGGAATGCTACATGTCTTGTTTTCACTTTTCTATTCCTATTATAATATAATGACAGGTATTTACATTATGTATATCCCTGTAACTAAATAACTCATTGAATGCAAAGGAAGAAGGGGGCTAAATTCAAAGCAATTGGTACAGATACTTGTCAGATTGTTGTCTGTGAAAAGAAGCTAAAAGTACCAATTCAAAGAGAGGTCCTTTATCTTTGGACTGTATGGATTTAAACAGGGCAGGTTTCAGAGTAGCAGCCGTGTTAGTCTGTATTCGCAAAAAGAAAAGAAGTACTAGTGGCACCTTAGACTAACCAATTTATTTGAGCATAAGCTTTCGCTGTAGCTCACGAAAGCTTATGCTCAAATAAATTGGTTAGTTTCTAAGGTGCCACTAGTACTCCTTTTCTTTTTGTTAATAGGGCAGAGTATCTGGACAAGAAAACTGAGCTCCCCAGAATTATTCTGGGTAGCCCTGAAGGACTTTTGGGAAACTGGCAGTTTATTGTGTGTCTGCTACTGTTTGGAATTACAAACTGTGACTTACCATTTATTATATTTTACCTTCTTTAACATCTCAATAACTCTCATCCTTTTACTTAACTAATAAACCTATAGTTGGTTTACTATAGAATTGGCTACCAGCATTGTCTTTCGTGTAAGGTCCGGAGTACCAACTGATCTGGGGTGAGTCCTTTGGGACTGGGAGCAACCTGACATGGTGTGATTTTTTGGTTTTAATAACCTTTTCTCACAAAGTTCAGTATGTCTGGGTGTTGAGATAGGCTGGAGAGGCTAAAGGGACTGTGACTCCATGGTAAGACTGGTATAGTGAGCCAGGAGTTCATATTTGTTACTAGCTTGGTGAAATCTAATTATAGAACATACCACCAGTTGGGGGTGTATGTCCGTGTTTTCTGATAGTCTGCCCTGACAGTCTCACTCACAATGGTGAGCCACTCCAAACAGCCTTACATATGTACACCATGCATTTCTCTTATTTGTACAGAGAAATATTTGTTATGCATTTAGTACATTTTTAAATAGTCAATAATTATACAGTCTTAATGAAAGAGGTATAATTGAGAAGTGTTCATGAATCTATAGAATTATGAACTTTTACAGTACTGTATGCTTGTTATCATAGAATATCAGGGTTGAAAGGGACCTCAGGAGGTCATCTAGTCCAAACCCCTGCTCAAAGCAGGGCCAACCCTCAATTTTTGCCCAAGATCCCTAAATGGCACCCTCAAGGATTGAACTCACAACCCTGGGTTTAGCAGGCCAATGCTCAAACCACTGAGCTATCCCTCCCCCCAAATGCAGTTAAGGCATTTCTAATAGTCATTAAATAATTGATTCACTCTCTATTATTAGTACTTTTGTTAATTTTATGGAATTGTTTACTCAATTTTATTTAGAATGTACTGACTTCATAAAATTATGTTTTTCTAAAAATGCATCATTATATATATTAATACTTCTCCTTAAATCTTCTGTCATTAATACTTTGTGGAATTATTTAATGGCTTTATTTAGATATGTACTAACAGAATTAAAAATATTTTCCTCTAAAAATGAGGAAACTGAACATTAACATAAATGTCCTAACACTTATTTGTTCTGCTGTTATTAAGGATTTTTAAATTAACTACTTTATTTAGAAATATATTAACTGCAGTGAAATTCATTTTATCCAAAAATGCAGGATTTTATGCAACACTCCTCTATTCCTCTATCATTAACGCTTTGTACAGTTATTTAATGACTATTAGAAAACTACGAAATGCATAAAAATAGCTCTCTCAAAATGCATGATTCTCCTTTATTCCTCTGACCATAAAACTTTATTTAGAAATGCAATAACTGCATATAAAATATTTTTCTCTTAAATGCATGTTAACATATGTATGTGTGGTAGCACTTTATTCTGCTATTATGAAGATTTCTGTTAATTAGCACATTTCTAAATAATTATTAAATAACTGCATTACAATTATTTTTTCTCTAAAAAATCGTATTAACCCTCTTTTATTCTACTGTCATTAAAACTTTGTACATCTGTTTACTAGATTTTATTTTTCTTTAGAATTGCACTAAATGCGTAAAATCATATTTTCTTCCTAAAATGAGGAAAAGGCCAGAAAGCTATATTTACTCGTTTAGTTCTAATGATTCCAATAAGGATAAATGAAACAGAAAACTTTCATTTTGTTTCAAAATGCCCATTAGCGCCAAAAATGCACATGTCAAAAATGAGACCTAGGATATAAGGCAAAAGGAGTGGAGGGGAGCAAAGGGGGAGAGGGACATGGAAACCTCTCAAAAATCATATGATGAATGAAGGTATAGCTTTTTCCCTACTTGTATGTATCAATTTTCCCTAGGAATGGAGAATGAAAGGCAGCCAAAAAGTGAGTGAAAAAACTCTCACAGGGTCTCTCAGCTATTAGCTTTCGACATATCACTCAACTTTCTATAGCCAATAGCTAACCTTTAAGGCACTGGTCCATGTTTGGGGTCATATGGAAACTTTCCACCCCAGAGACAGCGCCAGAGCCATTGCATCTCCTTTCAACACAATGGTTTATCTTGGTGCTCTGTGGAGTGCACAGGGCATATTGTATGCTGCACTGTAGTTTAGGGGGAATGAAATGTATGCTTCCCTTTGTGGTGGGCTAGCTCTTCTGCTAAGGCCCTGCCCCTTTGCCTCTTTGTGATGGGTAACATCCCACTGGGTGCAGCTCCTACGTTTGGCACTGAACATCATTGGTTTAAGAAGAGGGCTTCTGAAGATAGGACACCCTCTGTGAGAGGCTTTTCACTTTGGAATTTGTTTCTTTCTGTGGCCTGCCATACCCTGAATTCTTTCATGCTGCAAAAACCAGCTCGTCTCTCAGTCTCTCAGAGACGGTTGAGAGAAGTCAGTTGGTTGTGGTTGTTAGACATAGTGGGCTCTTTGTTTATATTCGTATATGTTTTGCCCTGATGGCATTATTTTAATGATGTGACTGAACTGTGTATTTAATGGTGTATAACCTAGGATAGATATTTTTGTCTGTTTATCTTTATTGGTATTAATAATCACAATACATTGACTCTGATATTTTTATTTTGCTTTTTATATTTGTAATTTGTTTTTCATATTGCTGGGGTCTCACTATCTCTGTTATACCTTGTACTGGGAAAAGCTCAGTAAGGCTGAGATATCAGGGAAAACTAGTCATGGTTCTACTCACTGTGAACATGGGCGGCTGACTAGTTAGTTTTTAGAACCACAGTTTTAGTTTCCAAAACAAAGTGGTGTTGCACTGCTAGTTATTACGGTCATTTTTTAAAATATTTATATTCACCCTGACAGCCAATGAAATTCTGGTATGTGAAAAGACAAACAAAATGAACCAACAGAGTGACACCACTTTTTTTCTGGAAGCTTGAAGATATAGGGTGAAATTTTGGTCCTATCAATGGAAGTTTTTCGACAGACTTCAATGGAGTGGGAATTTCACCAATTGTGTATTGTCTAGTTCATCCGCAAGTGGTAGTGAAATTGTGGCCCCAAAAATCAGAAATAGAGAACAATCGATCACTGTTATTAACATTATGTTGAGGGTCAAATCCTGAAGTCCCGATACTGGACTAGGCTAATCAAAGTCAATGTTAACTATTCAGCATGAGCAGGAGTGACAAAATTTGGCCCTCACCCTTTACTCAGAATTTGCTCAGGCCAAACTCCCATTGAAATCCACTGAGGGCTTGCTTGAATAAGGAGCTCAGGATTCGGCCCAATGGGAGGATGATCTCATTAAACCTATATTATCATTGCCATGGAACATCACAGACTGGAAACAGATTTGCTTTCTGGTTTACAAGAGATGTTATATTTGTGCATTATAAAAAGACAAAAATACAGGGAAGTAAAGATGTTTCTGAGTAAGACTGAAGTTTTTGATTCCAAAAATATCCTATATCTACTAGGCTATTTTAGAAATAGGAAAGTAAAATACCTTTGCATACTGGTGACACGGACCACTTCCCTTCCTTACATTTTACCGTCGGAAACCCAAAAAGGCTCAGACCTTGCGAACATTGATAACGCACTATATCACCAGGCAAATACCTTTGCTGCTTAGCACCTCGAATCCTACCATCATGAATCTCAGGTGGAGGTGCACATCTCATATCTGAAAAGAGATGAGAACTTCTGAAGTCACTGACACATTCCCATGTGGGTAACTAAATCACTTACAGTATTCCATTAGTTTTATATACAATCTATTCAGATCCAGTATTGATTAATTAATGAGTCACTAATTAATTAATCTATTCAGATCCAGTATTGATGCTTCTTAACTTAACCAGTACTGTTCATAGGAACATTTCAAATTGCAGGGAGGCAACAATAGGGCTATCCAGTAGTAAAAAAATTTGGGTTGGGATGCAGGGAATGAAAAATGAACGGTCAAAAACTTATGGGAATTTGTCAAAATCATCAGTTTCAAGTTTGATGAATGTTTCATGTTTGACGAATCAGTGTTTATTCTGTTGGAAAATTTCTGACCAACCTATCCAAATCATACTCTGCTTTTCCTCCCCAACTCACAGAAACTCCTCTATGGGTTCTCCCTTGGAGTTTATGCTCTGTAGCTGAGGTGGATATGCAACTAGTCTCTGCCAGGTTCTCCCCCTGGAAAAAAAAACCAGCAGCAAAACCATGTAAGCTACTGAAATAAACTTGTCCTGTTTCCCCTCCATGCAAAAGTGGTAGGGCCTTCAACCTCAAAATCTGTGGCTCTCAGGTGATTGGCTTGAGAAAAGAGTTGTCTTTGCAGAAGCCACTTGTCTCTACACAGATGACCCTATGGCCCCTTATAGCACAGCTCCAGCAGGTATCAAACCCACTAGGAGACCTTGCAGGGTGTTAGTACACAATCCTATGGCCAGTGTTACAGCTCTTCCCAAGAAGTCATTGGAAAAAGAGAAGAGAGGAATTGCAGTTCTCCCTTGGAGTGTCAAATCACACTCCTTTCTTGACTATGTGTCAGTAACAGAATTAGCTACTGGAATGAGTTACTGTTTATGCAGCCTAAGGAACAAGAAGTCACCTGCAGGCTTGAGAGGTAGCCTCCTTTCCCAAGAGATACTGGCACCATTGCAAACAGTGGTAGCACCTGAACTGTGACTCCACTCAGTGCAAGGGCTTCACAAGATTGGCCTGTAGCTGATCTTTCACTAGGTCCAGAGATTCCGTGAGGTATAGAGTAAGGATCTGAGGTGCATCCTCACCAAGAGTTGGTAGCATTTATTTCCTGAGTGCTCAACTACCTCTCGCAGAATCCAAAATATTCATCAACTTGTGTGGATTATCCTGGACCAATTCAATTTCTATTCCCAAGGAGGTGATTGCCCTTTTCATAAATTCATGGTACATTTTGTAATCATCTAGAACAGGGGAAGATGATTCTGAAACAGTAGCCTCATCTGGCGACGATGAGGAAACACTGAGTGGAAGCATTGAACTGTCCATCCGCTCTACCATTTGCTGAACATCCATAGCAGGAGAATCAGAAACTAGAGATAACCTCCCTCAGCTGCTGGGTACTGGTGTTGGTACTGAGAATGTTAATAGATGGAGAAGGGCACAGAACAGCGACTAGGAGAAGATGACCTGAAGTCTGGAGGAACCTCCCCCCACACACACCCATAAATTCCAGAAAGGCCACTGCTGTATTTGATGTGGTACTGGGGCGCAACCCCACGGGAAGGTCTCTCTAGATATGCTCCTGTAAGAGTCACGGTGCCACAGCTTGACCAATGTGATGAGGAATAAGCAGAGACTTGAGACCTTTAAATATGTAGGATCCCACTTCTAGTTTGAAGAAGAGCCAGCATGGGAATGCCAAGGTAGTGCAGTACTGTGTGGAGTAGAAAGCTCATGGGAGCTGGACCAATGCAAGATGCACAGTTAGCAGAGGAAGCATCTGAAGATTTTCTGATGCAGGGACCAGCTGCCCAATAGAGCATCCTGACTCTGGCACTACTGACAAAGGCTCAGTTCCTGATGGTACCAAACATGTTGGTGCCAAGAAAGATGCCAGTTCCAGGGCTTGCATAGCAGGAACTGTTGAAGCCTACACCTTGTTCCTAAACTTTTTATCCATATTATGCACAAACAGCTGTCTACCATCAACCAAAACATGGTAAACTGAAATAGCTGCCAAATGAACTTTCAAAAATTAGTTAGATAGCCCCTCCCTATTAAAGTACATTAAATATCATAAAACACAAGGTATGGAAACTGAAACAAGAGAATCAGATTTTTCCTGCATACAAGCCACAGATGTGGACTATTTCAAATAAACCCAGTGACCTCAAAGTGTAAAATGACTCAGATGTACACTCTCCATCAGACATTGTTTTACACATCCAAAGTTACCCTTGCCGATGGTGAAGGGGGATTGAACTGGACACTTCCGAATGACCAGCAGGTCAACAAGTCCAGCATATCTGGAGGCATGCTGATTAACACTGGAAGACTGTTCAAATTGGGCCTGTAGACCTGAGAAATCCAGTGTTCCACTGGCCTCATATTGAGCTGCACAAATGGAGTCACATAGGTAGTTGCTACCATGAGACCCAGGAAGAAAAATACTTTATGAGTCTGACATATTTGAATGTTTAAAATATACTGCACAGGTTTTTTTTAAATCTGTACTCTGGTAGGAATGCTTTCTCTGCTGTCATATCAACTATGGAGTCCATGAATAAAATTATCGGAGTTGGACAGGTATTTGACTTTTTGACATTCAAAAGCAGACCCAGGTCTGAAAAAAAAGGGTAGTTGTTGTATAAGCGATGTGACTGAATAGATCCTTGTGAACAGCAGGCATCACTAGCCAGTCATCCAAATATGTAAACAAAAATACTTTGCTTTCACAAATGAACCCCTACTACAGAGAAGCATTTGTTAAATGCTCTTGGTGTTGTGGACAGACCAAACAGGAGCACCTTGTACAGGAAATGGGGCTCTGCCACCACGAAATGAAGATACTTTTAATGACTATGTCAGACAGAAATATGAAAATATGTGCCCTTTAAATTGAGAGTTTCAAACCAATCCATAGCTGAAAGCAAAGGAATTATGGAGGCCAGAGTTAACATACAGAACCCAAACTTCCTAATGTACTTGTTTAGAATTTGTAGAATCATAGGACTGGAAGGGACCTCGAAAGATCATCTAGTTAAATCTAAATCTAAAATTGGACAAAACCTCCCATCCTTTTTGTGCAACAGAAAGTATATTGAATAAAACCCCTGGTCCCTCAGCTGTTTGGAAACCTTCTTAACAGCCCCTATCAGAAGTAATTTCTGCACTTCTGAAAGTAGAATAGCCTTGTGAGACATTCCCAGAAAAGAGAAGGTAGGGATAATTGAAGGGGGTAGTTTCTTTAACTGAATGGTAAATCTCTTCTTTATAATTTCTAGGACCCATTTGTCTGTTCTAATAAGATTTTTATTTGCTGATAAAATGGACAAGTCTATCCCCAGACAGAGGAAGGAAAAGGTCCTTGCTGTTTGATTGTTGACTTTCCATCCTCACATCAGATCTGAAGCCTGGTACTCCACAAAGATGACAGAGGGAGCAGATTGCTTAGATTTAGACCTCAGTTTGAAAGACCTCTTCTTGTGTTGGCTCTGGAATGATGCACATGGCTAGAGTTGCTGCTGACATCTTTGATTTGATGAGAAATAAGCTGAAGAAAACCATGGTTAATACTGCCTCTGATCATGGAAAGAAGGAGCAGAAGGTCTCCTGCTAATAGAACAAATCAAACCCAAAGAGCAGGCTCTCATTCTAGTCTCCTTCAGCTTTCCCAGCTTTCTCATCCTTTTCTTTACTTAAAAGACCATCCCCTTCAATGAGGACATCCTCCACCTTTATTCTAGTATCCACATCCAGAGAAGAGGAGCAAAGTGAAGCATGTCTCCTCAGAGTAACTTCAGAAGCCAATGCTCTGGCAGAAGAGTCTGAAGCAAAGCTCTGAGAGTGTGCTTTGCCACATTTTGACTTTCCATTACAATTGCATTTGCTAATCTCCTTTTGTAATATGCCAAATCCTGTGCAAACACTGCCATCTTTTCCCATAAGTGGAATTGATAGTAGGCAATAACTGCTTGATAATTTGCCACCCTAATGCTAAGAGAGGAAAAAGAGAACACCTTTCACCTTAGGGAATCAATCTTTTTTTCCCTATCAACAGGAGTAGAATATGCTTGTCCAGACCCTATCCTGCTACTGGGAGCAGCCACCACCAGTGAATTAGGTACAGGATGTATGTGAAAATATGAAAACCTCTCTGAAGGTATCTGATATAATTTGTCTGCCTGCCTGGAAATAAGATGGCAAGAGGCAGAAGTGGTCCTAACAGTCTTAGCAGGCTGCAGCAGACCTCTGACAACTGGTAACAATAACCTACTCTTGGAGGTAGCTCCAAGAACTTTCCCCAAACACCAGGTTTTTTCATTCGTATTGAAGTAAGTTCCGCATGGACACCATGCAATCCACCAGATCATGGAACTGCAGAGCATCGTCAGAAAGTGAAGAGGGAGAAGTCACACTTCCTTGCTCCTCTGGTGACAAATTGGGAGCCATGTCAGCATCTTCTTGTGCAAAAAAGGACTTATCTCCTTATCTTCTTCAGACAGAGTATCCGGCAGCACTGCCTGAAGTGCACCTGGATCCTTTCCAGATAAAACATCAGTTCAATTATCCATATAAAGGACAACTGAGAAATTGCTGCAGAGGAGGAGGAGGCATAGATGAATCAAGAGAGAGACTAATAATTAATCATAGAATCATGGAATAATAGAATATCAGGGTTGGAAGGGACCCCAGAAGGTCATCTAGTCCAACCCCCTGCTCGAAGCAGGACCAATCCCCAACTAAATCATCCCAGCCAGGGCTTTGTCAAGCCTGACCTTAAAAACCTCTAAGGAAGGAGATTCTACCACCTCCCTAGGTAACGCATTCCAGTGTTTCACCACCCTCCTAGTGAAAAAGTTTTTCCTAATATCCAACCTAAACCTCCCCCACTGCAACTTGAGACCATTACTCCTTTTGCCCTTCTCCTTTTTTCAGCTGAAGAGGATGCAGACCTTAAAACTGGTGAAGACTGTCTCTTTCTTGAAACTCACTGTTTCGCACTTGGATCTGGATGGCACAAGACCTTGTGAAATCCTCAGATTGACTTGGTCCTTGAAACTGACACTGGAACTGACTTCGGATTTGGAGCCAGAGCCATAGAGACCCTGTCAGAATTAGATAGATCCAACAACTCTGGCCTACAGGATCTGGCACTGCTAACAGCGGCCATCTTCTCCCTCACCACCTTCTTCAGAACAAGCACAGCTGGAGATAACAATGTGGCTCTTGGTGCTGTAAAAGGCAATCTTGTCTTTCTGAAGTAACAATGCCTTCGAAACCCTGGCTGCCTGAGCAGCAGGATCTGGAGCTGGACCTGATGAAGGTCCATTAAAGTAATTGAATCCATGACCCTGATGATGAAATCATATCCTTAGCAATTAGGAAAAACACCTTCCATGAATGGTGTAGTAATGTGAATGTCACTAAAGGCTCAAATGGTGGTCCTGTAAGTTTAGACAAAACCAAATTAAAATCCCAAGGAGGAAGGGGCTCCCTAAATTGAGGGTACAATCTTTTCAGGTCTTTAAGAAATGTAACTGTTATGTAATTAGAAAAAAAAAACAGAAATGTCATCCACATGAGGGTGAAAAGTTGTTATTGCTGCTAGGGGAACCTTGATGGGGAAATTGCTAAGCTTTGCTCTTTCAGGTGCAACAGAAGATAGGCGAGTATATTTTGGATGGATGAATGCATCGGTTAGACTCCAGTTTCACAAGCCCAGATAGAGAACTCCTTCCATTTTGACAGCTAGGTGGATGACTTTCTGCTACTCTAACTTACTCTGAGCAAGCCTGCTCTTTGGGATTTAACCATGGAGCTTTCAGGCTCCATGAATGAAGGGACTGCAGGTTTGATAGTAGCAGCCAACCGTTGTCCATGATAGATCAAATTTGGGTGCAATGCAGGTGAGATTGGAATTGCCACTGTGAGGTCCTATAGGGTGGAGGAACCGGAGTTGGCAGGGCCATGCTGGGGCTATAAAAATAACCCTGGCATGGTCCTGCTTGATCTTTAGCAGCACTCTGTAAAAGAGTGGTATTGGGGGAAAAGTGTAGTAAAGCTTTTCTGTCCAAGGTAGCAGTAAGGTGTCTGTGATGGAGCCTGGACCATGGCCTTGCAGGGGTCAGAACTGTGACATTTTCTGTTGAATTTTGTTCACAAATAGGTCTATTTGGGAGTCCCCCACTGCTGGAAAATGCATCTGGTTACATCCAGGTAAAGAGATCAGACGTGATAAGTAGAAAATAACCTGTTCAGACAGTCTGCCTTCTTGTTCTGCAAACCTGAAAGCTATGATACCAGTCAGCTCTGTGTTCTTGGGGAAACAGGGCGCAGTATCCAGCCTGTCTGACTCATGAAGGACACACACACACTCAGCCTCTGCTTGAATCAAAACCGATCAGAGAAAAGACTTGCAGAGAGCAGTGAAGGGCGGTGGGAGACACACCTAGACACCTCCTGACAAGAGTGATAGGATTAAGGCAAGCTAGATTGACCCGGTCCACTCAGACTTGCTCTGTTAAGGTGCGTGTGTGTGCATGTGTGTGTGTGTTCATTTGGTTCTGGGGCTGGAGGAACCCAGCCCTGGGGAACCTAGGTCCTGCAGGATAGCTCCATTGGGAGAGGACTTGCAGAAGGGAGAAGTAGAGCTCCATATGAAAACACAAGTGACACAAGCAGTACATTAATAGAATTACAGAACTCCCTCCCCCCAGAAGAGTAACCCTAATAAATGAGTGTACCCCAAAGTAATGGGAAAATCTGGTAACAGCTAAAAGGCGTTAAGGTTGATTGAGTGGGCTATACAAAATTCCCATAGGTTAATTGTTTCCTGACAATGGAGGGATGAGCGAGCTCCTCCCTATTTGTTGAGGTAAACATTTCCCATGATATGAGGTAGGAAAGACTGACAGGCAAATCACCCAGAGCTCTCTGTCGTTGATATGAAGAGCAAGTTTCCTCCAGGACCCAAACCCCTGAGTTTGGATGGGCCCCAGGTGAGCTTCCCATCCTAGTACCAACATATCTGAGACCAGAGTCTTCAACAGTTGAGTGCAGAGGAAAAGAACATCTGCACAAACATTGAGAGGATCCAACCACCAATTCAGCGAAATTAGAATCCGCAAGTGTACCAAGAGCACAGTGTCCTGATGAAGATGTCTTGGTGAGTATACCGAGGCCCAGCCATGTCTGGAAGCTCCTAGACCAGAAGTTCTTCATGAGAGGGGTCCTTGAATAGGGATTGGGAGGGACGGTGGTAAAGAGGAGTCGAAATAAACTAGAGGGTGTATCCTACTTCTACAGTGCTCAACACTCTGTGGTGATACTGGACAAAGGAAATAGGAAAGGCAGTTTGCAAACAAAGGAAAAACAGGTCTTACTTCTGGAAATAGGTATGGCGCCATTCAGCATCCCATCTAAACACCTGCTTAGAACCCCCTGGATGTGTAGGTGGGGTAGACATTGATGAAGAGGTAGGAGGTAGATGAAGCCTATGCCTATAACCACTACTCTTCTTCCTCTGCAGGTCATGTTGGAGAGCTGGGGCAGAATACAGGAGTGGTTGCTGAGGTCTGAAGTGCTTCCTGGAAGGAACTGGGGTATACAACCCAAGGGATTTTTAAAGTTGCCCTTTACTCCTTTAACCCCTGGAGCTTAGCATCAGTATACTCCAGAAAGAGAAAGGCTCGCTCAAAGAGCAGATCTTGCAAAGTCTGTTGGACCTCCTGGTAGAGCCCAGAGGACTGCAACCAGGAGCTCCCGTGCATGGCCACTGCTGAAACCATGGACCTAGTAGCCAAGTCAGCCAAATCCAGAGCAGCTTGCAGAGCGGTCCTCACCACAGATTTTCCCTTATCCACTATCGAGAAGAACTTCTGCCTAGCATCTTCCAGGAACATGTGTTAAAAATTTAACATGGAGTCCCACATATTAAAGTCGTACCTGCCCAATAGGGCATGCTGGTTTGCAATCCTGAGCTGCACTTCCGCCTCCCAGTAGAAAAAACCCTCTTAACAAACAGATCTAACTTCTTTAAGTCTTTTGATTTTGGTGTTGCACTCTGATGCCCCTGCTTTTCCCTCTCATTGGTGGAGGATACTACCAGGCATCCCGGAGGAGAAGGGAAATGAATGCAGTTTTTGGGGGTACATAATACTTGCCCTTTTTGAAGTGTGGAGAAGGGATGCAGGGGTCTTCCACAGTACCTTAAATGGGTCCATAATGGCCTCAGTGAGAGGCAGAGCCACTCTGGAACGACCTGCAATGTCTAAAGTATTGGCCAGTTATTGAGAGGCTTCTTCTACTTCCTCCACCTGTATTGCAGACTTAAGATAATCCTCTTTAACGATTCTTGGTGTGCCTTATGGTCATCTGGGGGAGACAAAATGCTCCCTCATGAGTCTGCCTCTTCAGAAGAAGAGGAAGAAGAGTTCAGCACCAGGTGTGGATACTCTTCCTCCATTTCTAGATCTGTAGGGTTCTCTTCAGCCCTTGATGTCCAGTAGTAGGCTCAGTACCAGAAACAGGAATGGGTGCTACCCACTGGGAAGATGCCTCACACATTTCTGATGCCACTGAATAGGAGTGCCTGGAATATGATGTAGAAAAGGGCCCAACGGATTACAAAAAGGCCACTGGACAGGTGTATTCCCCAAATGACCTCCTGGCCAACCACTTGATGGTACTCCTGTCGCAGGATCCATGGAGGGGTGAAAACGTCTGGAGGAGGGGTAGTGAGAGTGGCTGCGAGGATGGGAGATTTAGAACTGGACCTCTGATTTGGAAGACGACGACTCTCCTTCCGTTGACCACAAAGGCACCATTCCAGATGGTGCCAGCAATCAGTTCTGAGTTGGAGAGACCTGCAGAGATGTGAGCATCACGGAAGGATGAGCCCTCAAAGGTACCCAAGACTGTCACAGTACCGAGCACTGTAGCAATCCTGCTGGTTATTCTGTCTGTCGGCACTGACAGCATCAGCTCTTGTGCTACGAGTGATGCTGGCACCGACAGGGTCACGGGGTCCCCGGCAACTACCAATGCCTGTGGTGTAGTTAGTACTGAAATAGTGTGGTGTGGTGTCATAGTTGTGGAAGCAGCGCCTTCTGGCTCTGGACTTGATGGAACCTGCCTAGGTGCTGGAGTCAACAGTGCCATCTTCTGAGGTACGGAAGAAGAGGGGTATTTAGACAGAAACCACATTTTAGTCTTATCCCCTTGCCTAGCACACCACAGTGCCAGGGATCTCTGCCTTTCTGCAGTTGGCAGTCTGCTTCTCACAAATCTTTTTAGGCACTGAGGATGGTGAAGAGTGTTGGGACTCGGGCACTGCAGGAGGTGCACTCCTTTTCAAATGCCGAGGCACTCAGTGCCAAGTCTGACTTCAGTGCTGAGTCTGAGCTCTCAAGGCTGCCTCCATGAGTAGAAACTTTAGCCTGACTTCACAATCTTTCTCCGCAAGAGGCTTCAAGTCCCTGAAAATTTGGTAACACTCCCCAAAAAGAACTTCCCTGAGGAATTTCCAGACAAACACGTATCAGAGATGATCTAGATGTACTTAATCCTGCCTTAGTGCAGAGGAATGAACTTGATGACCTTGCAGGGCCCCCTACAGCCCCACATTTCTGTCAATCCATGTTCCCAGCTCACCAACGCACACCTCGTCTTATTTGTTTTAATTACAATACAAACTCCTACCTTGGCAAGTTGGTGGTTGTGACCATTCTCCATCTTCACAAGTTACATCATTCAATCCCATACTTTCAAATCCTTCCTGACATTTATATTGCACTCTAGCACCAGGCAGATACCTTCCCTCCTCATTATTGACAATAGTAGCATTGGTAACTTCAGGTGGAGCGCCACATGTTACATCTGAAAGGGGAGAGATGTATAAATAGATTAGTACTGATAAACTCTAAATGTAGTATCTTATTTTCTTTAAATAGATAATGTCCTTTTTAAAAAAGTGCACTTACATAAATGAAGGTTACTTGTTTGTAGTTGAAGTTCTTTGAGATGGCTCTACAGTTTCCAACTCACAAGATATTGTACCACCTAGTGGTGCCTAATGGTAATCTTCTCCAAGCAGCATCCTTTAAAGCTCTCATACCCACCTTTTATATGCCTCCCCTTCGCGTCTCTGAACATTCGGAGGACAAGGCTATATGAGGTGGTGTGGCACCTATCTATCACCTCAGTTCCTTTCACCAACCGACCCCAGGAAGAGGAGGAGAGCAAAGCACATCTCCACAGGGTAACTTTATAAGCCAATGCTCTGGCAGAAGAGTCTGAAGCATTAGCAAAGATCTGAGAATGTGCTTTGCAACATTCTGAACTTCCATTAGGATTGCATTTGCCAATTTCCTTTTGTAATCTGCCAAATCCTGCGCAAACAGTGCCATCTTTTCCCATAAGTGGAATTGATAGCAGACCATAATTACTTGATAATTTGCTACCCTAATGCCAAGAGAGGAAGAAGAGAACTTCTTTCTCCTTAGGGAATCACACTTCTTTTTTTTTATGAGCAGTCATGGCTTGTCCAGACCTCATCTTGCTAGTGGCAGCAGTCACCACCAGCGAATTAGCTAGAGGATGTATGCGAAAATATGAAAACCCCCCTGAGGGTACCTGATATAATTTGTCTGCCTGCCTGGAAATAAGAAGGCAAGAGGCAGAAATGGACCTAACAGTCTCAGCAGACTGCAGCAGACCACTGAGAAATGGTAACAACAGCCTCCTCTTCGAGGTAGCTCCAAGACCTTTCCTCAAACACCAGGTTTTCTCCATTCGTATTGAAGTAAGTTCCACATGGACACCCTGCAATCCACCAGATCATGGAACTGCAGAGCATCGTCAGAAAGTGAAGAGGGAGAAGTCACCCCCCCCATGCTCCTGTGGTGACAAATCAGGAGCCGTGTCAGCGTGTTCCTGTGCCAAAAAAAAAAAAAAAAAAAGGACCTATCTCCTTATCTTCTTCAGACAGAGTATCAGGCAGCACTGCCTGAAGTGCCCCTGGATCCTTTCCACCTAAAACGTTGGATCAATAATCCATATAAAGGACAATTGAAAAATTGCTGCAGAGGAGGAGGAGGCAGGGATGAGTCAAGAGAAAAATGAATAATGTCCTCTGCCCTTCTCCTTTTTTCCGCTGAAGAGGATGCAGACCTCAAAACTGGTGAAGACTGTCTCTCCCTTGAAACTCACTGTTTCGCACTTGGATCTGAGGAATGTTGGTAAGCCAAATCGTTGTACAACAGGCACTAAAGTAAAAGCCTTCTTTGGATCAAAGGATGGATCTGGATTTGGAGGAGAGGTTGAAGCCAGAACTGAAGACCTGAATGGCACAAGATCCAGTGAAATCCTCAGATCGACTTCGTCCTTGAACCTGAAACTGACTTCAGTTTTGGAGGCAGAGCCATGGAGACCCTGTCAGAATCAGATAGATCCAAAACTTCTGACCTACAGGATCTGGCACTGCTAACTGCTCTCCCTCACCAACTTTTCAGAACAAGCACAACCAGAGATGACAATGTGCTCTAAACGGCCTTCTTGTCTTTCTGCATTAACAATGCATTCAAAACCCTGACTTCCTGCAAAGCAGGATTTGGAGTTGGACCTGATGAAGGTCCATTAAAGTCACGGAATCCATGACTTCCATGATGAAATCATATCCTTAGCAATTAGGAAAACCACTGGGTAGGTGCCTCACACATTTCTGATGCCACTGAATAGGAGTGCCTGGAATATGATGTAGAAAAGGGCCCAACGGATTACAAAAAGGCCACTGGACAGGTGTATGCCCCAAATGACCTCCTGGCCAACCACTTGATGGTACTCCTGTCGCAGGATCCATGGAGGGGTGAAAACGTCTGGAGGAGGGGTAGTGAGAGTGGCTGCGAGGATGGGAGATTTAGAACTGGACCTCTGATTTGGAAGACGACGACTCTCCTTCCGTTGACCACAAAGGCACCATTCCAGATGGTGCCAGCAATCAGTTCTGAGTTGGAGAGACCTGCAGAGATGTGAGCATCACGGAAGGATGAGCCCTCAAAGGTACCCAAGACTGTCACAGTACCGAGCACTGTAGCAATCCTGCTGGTTATTCTGTCTGTCGGCACTGACAGCATCAGCTCTTGTGCTACGAGTAATGCTGGCACCGACAGGGTCACGGGGTCCCCGGCAACTACCAATGCCTGTGGTGTAGTTAGTACTGAAATAGTGTGGTGTGGTGTCATAGTTGTGGAAGCAGCGCCTTCTGGCTCTGGACTTGATGGAACCTGCCTAGGTGCTGGAGTCAACAGTGCCATCTTCTGAGGTACGGAAGAAGAGGGGTATTTAGACAGAAACCACATTTTAGTCTTATCCCCTTGCCTAGCACACCACAGTGCCAGGGATCTCTGCCTTTCTGCAGTTGGCAGTCTGCTTCTCACAAATCTTTTTAGGCACTGAGGATGGTGAAGAGTGTTGGGACTCGGGCACTGCAGGAGGTGCACTCCTTTTCAAATGCTGAGGCACTCAGTGCCAAGTCTGACTTCAGTGCTGAGTCTGAGCTCTCAAGGCTGCCTCCATGAGTAGAAACTTTAGCCTGACTTCACAATCTTTCTCCGCAAGAGGCTTCAAGTCCCTGAAAATTTGGTAACACTCCCCAAAAAGAACTTCCCTGAGGAATTTCCAGACAAACACGTATCAGAGATGATCTAGATGTACTTAATCCTGCCTTAGTGCAGAGGAATGAACTTGATGACCTTGCAGGGCCCCCTACAGCCCCACATTTCTGTCAATCCATGTTCCCAGCTCACCAACGCACACCTCGTCTTATTTGTTTTAATTACAATACAAACTCCTACCTTGGCAAGTTGGTGGTTGTGACCATTCTCCATCTTCACAAGTTACATCATTCAATCCCATACTTTCAAATCCTTCCTGACATTTATATTGCACTCTAGCACCAGGCAGATACCTTCCCTCCTCATTATTGACAATAGTAGCATTGGTAACTTCAGGTGGAGCGCCACATGTTACATCTGAAAGGGGAGAGATGTATAAATAGATTAGTACTGATAAACTCTAAATGTAGTATCTTATTTTCTTTAAATAGATAATGTCCTTTTTAAAAAAGTGCACTTACATAAATGAAGGTTACTTGTTTGTAATTGAAGTTCTTTGAGATGGCTCTACAGTTTCCAACTCACAAGATATTGTGCCACCTAGTGGTGCCTAATGGTAATCTTCTCCAAGCAGCATCCTTTAAAGCTCTCATACCCACCTTTTCTATGCCTCCCCTTCGAGTCTCTGAACATTCGGAGGACAAGTCTATATGAGGTGGTGTGGCACCTATCTATCACCTCAGTTCCTTTCACCGACCGACCCCAGGAAGAGGAGCAGAGCAAAGCACATCTTCACAGGGTAACTTTATAAGCCAATGCTCTGGCAGAAGAGTCTGAAGCATTAGCAAAGATCTGAGAATGTGCTTTGCAACATTCTGAACTTCCATTAGGATTGCATTTGCCAATTTCCTTTTGTAATCTGCCAAATCCTGCGCAAACAGTGCCATCTTTTCCCATAAGTGGAATTGATAGCAGACCATAATTACTTGATAATTTGCTACCCTAATGCCAAGAGAGGAAGAAGAGAACTTCTTTCTCCTTAGGGAATCACACTTCTTTTTTTTTATGAGCAGTCATGGCTTGTCCAGACCTCATCTTGCTAGTGGCAGCAGTCACCACCAGCGAATTAGCTAGAGGATGTATGCGAAAATATGAAAACCCCCCTGAGGGTACCTGATATAATTTGTCTGCCTGCCTGGAAATAAGAAGGCAAGAGGCAGAAATGGACCTAACAGTCTCAGCAGACTGCAGCAGACCACTGAGAAATGGTAACAACAGCCTCCTCTTCGAGGTAGCTCCAAGACCTTTCCTCAAACACCAGGTTTTCTCCATTCGTATTGAAGTAAGTTCCACATGGACACCCTGCAATCCACCAGATCATGGAACTGCAGAGCATCGTCAGAAAGTGAAGAGGGAGAAGTCACACACCCCCCCCCATGCTCCTGTGGTGACAAATCAGGAGCCGTGTCAGCGTGTTCCTGTGCAAAAAAAAAAAAAAAAGGACCTATCTCCTTATCTTCTTCAGACAGAGTATCAGGCAGCACTGCCTGAAGTGCCCCTGGATCCTTTCCACCTAAAACGTTGGATCAATAATCCATATAAAGGACAATTGAAAAATTGCTGCAGAGGAGGAGGAGGCAGGGATGAGTCAAGAGAAAAATGAATAATGTCCTCTGCCCTTCTCCTTTTTTCCGCTGAAGAGGATGCAGACCTCAAAACTGGTGAAGACTGTCTCTCCCTTGAAACTCACTGTTTCGCACTTGGATCTGAGGAATGTTGGTAAGCCGAATCGTTGTACAACAGGCACTAAAGTAAAAGCCTTCTTTGGATCAAAGGATGGATCTGGATTTGGAGGAGAGGTTGAAGCCAGAACTGAAGACCTGAATGGCACAAGATCCAGTGAAATCCTCAGATCGACTTCGTCCTTGAACCTGAAACTGACTTCAGTTTTGGAGGCAGAGCCATGGAGACCCTGTCAGAATCAGATAGATCCAAAACTTCTGACCTACAGGATCTGGCACTGCTAACTGCTCTCCCTCACCAACTTTTCAGAACAAGCACAACCAGAGATGACAATGTGCTCTAAACGGCCTTCTTGTCTTTCTGCATTAACAATGCATTCAAAACCCTGACTTCCTGCAAAGCAGGATTTGGAGTTGGACCTGATGAAGGTCCATTAAAGTCACGGAATCCATGACTTCCATGATGAAATCATATCCTTAGCAATTAGGAAAACCACTGGGTAGGTGCCTCACACATTTCTGATGCCACTGAATAGGAGTGCCTGGAATATGATGTAGAAAAGGGCCCAACGGATTACAAAAAGGCCACTGGACAGGTGTATGCCCCAAATGACCTCCTGGCCAACCACTTGATGGTACTCCTGTCGCAGGATCCATGGAGGGGTGAAAACGTCTGGAGGAGGGGTAGTGAGAGTGGCTGCGAGGATGGGAGATTTAGAACTGGACCTCTGATTTGGAAGACGACGACTCTCCTTCCGTTGACCACAAAGGCACCATTCCAGATGGTGCCAGCAATCAGTTCTGAGTTGGTGTAGTTAGTACTGAAATAGTGTGGTGTGGTGTCATAGTTGTGGAAGCAGCGCCTTCTGGCTCTGGACTTGATGGAACCTGCCTAGGTGCTGGAGTCAACAGTGCCATCTTCTGAGGTACGGAAGAAGAGGGGTATTTAGACAGAAACCACATTTTAGTCTTATCCCCTTGCCTAGCACACCACAGTGCCAGGGATCTCTGCCTTTCTGCAGTTGGCAGTCTGCTTCTCACAAATCTTTTTAGGCACTGAGGATGGTGAAGAGTGTTGGGACTCGGGCACTGCAGGAGGTGCACTCCTTTTCAAATGCTGAGGCACTCAGTGCCAAGTCTGACTTCAGTGCTGAGTCTGAGCTCTCAAGGCTGCCTCCATGAGTAGAAACTTTAGCCTGACTTCACAATCTTTCTCCGCAAGAGGCTTCAAGTCCCTGAAAATTTGGTAACACTCCCCAAAAAGAACTTCCCTGAGGAATTTCCAGACAAACACGTATCAGAGATGATCTAGATGTACTTAATCCTGCCTTAGTGCAGAGGAATGAACTTGATGACCTTGCAGGGCCCCCTACAGCCCCACATTTCTGTCAATCCATGTTCCCAGCTCACCAACGCACACCTCGTCTTATTTGTTTTAATTACAATACAAACTCCTACCTTGGCAAGTTGGTGGTTGTGACCATTCTCCATCTTCACAAGTTACATCATTCAATCCCATACTTTCAAATCCTTCCTGACATTTATATTGCACTCTAGCACCAGGCAGATACCTTCCCTCCTCATTATTGATAATAATAGCATTGGTAACTTCAGGTGGAGCGCCACATGTTACATCTGAAAGGGGAGAGATGTATAAATAGATTAGTACTGATAAACTCTAAATGTAGTATCTTATTTTCTTTAAATAGATAATGTCCTTTTTAAAAAAGTGCACTTACATAAATGAAGGTTACTTGTTTGTAATTGAAGTTCTTTGAGATGGCTCTACAGTTTCCAACTCACAAGATATTGTGCCACCTAGTGGTGCCTAATGGTAATCTTCTCCAAGCAGCATCCTTTAAAGCTCTCATACCCACCTTTTCTATGCCTCCCCTTCGAGTCTCTGAACATTCGGAGGACAAGTCTATATGAGGTGGTGTGGCACCTATCTATCACCTCAGTTCCTTTCACCGACCGACCCCAGGAAGAGGAGCAGAGCAAAGCACATCTTCACAGGGTAACTTTATAAGCCAATGCTCTGGCAGAAGAGTCTGAAGCATTAGCAAAGATCTGAGAATGTGCTTTGCCACATTCTGACCTTCCATTAGGATTGCGTTTGCCAATCTCCTTTTGTAATCTGCCAAATCCTGTGCAAACAGTGCCATCTTTTCCCATAAGTGGAATTGATAGCAGACCATAATTACTTGATAATTTGCTACCCTAATGCCAAGAGAGGAAGAAGAGAACTTCTTTCTCCTTAGGGAATCACACTTCTTTTTTTTTATGAGCAGTCATGGCTTGTCCAGACCTCATCTTGCTAGTGGAGCAGTCACCACCAGCGAATTAGCTAGAGGATGTATGCGAAAATATGAAAACCCCCCTGAGGGTACCTGATATAATTTGTCTGCCTGCCTGGAAATAAGAAGGCAAGAGGCAGAAATGGACCTAACAGTCTCAGCAGACTGCAGCAGACCACTGAGAAATGGTAACAACAGCCTCCTCTTCGAGGTAGCTCCAAGACCTTTCCTCAAACACCAGGTTTTCTCCATTCGTATTGAAGTAAGTTCCACATGGACACCCTGCAATCCACCAGATCATGGAACTGCAGAGCATCGTCAGAAAGTGAAGAGGGAGAAGTCACACACCCCCCCCCATGCTCCTGTGGTGACAAATCAGGAGCCGTGTCAGCGTGTTCCTGTGCCAAAAAAAAAAAAAAAAAAAAAAAAAAAAAAGGACCTATCTCCTTATCTTCTTCAGACAGAGTATCAGGCAGCACTGCCTGAAGTGCCCCTGGATCCTTTCCACCTAAAACGTTGGATCAATAATCCATATAAAGGACAATTGAAAAATTGCTGCAGAGGAGGAGGAGGCAGGGATGAGTCAAGAGAAAAATGAATAATGTCCTCTGCCCTTCTCCTTTTTTCCGCTGAAGAGGATGCAGACCTCAAAACTGGTGAAGACTGTCTCTCCCTTGAAACTCACTGTTTCGCACTTGGATCTGAGGAATGTTGGTAAGCCGAATCATTGTACAACAGGCACTAAAGTAAAAGCCTTCTTTGGATCAAAGGATGGATCTGGATTTGGAGGAGAGGTTGAAGCCAGAACTGAAGACCTGAATGGCACAAGATCCAGTGAAATCCTCAGATCGACTTCGTCCTTGAACCTGAAACTGACTTCAGTTTTGGAGGCAGAGCCATGGAGACCCTGTCAGAATCAGATAGATCCAAAACTTCTGACCTACAGGATCTGGCACTGCTAACTGCTCTCCCTCACCAACTTTTCAGAACAAGCACAGCCAGAGATGACAATGTGCTCTAAACGGCCTTCTTGTCTTTCTGCATTAACAATGCATTCAAAACCCTGACTTCCTGCAAAGCAGGATCTGGAGTTGGACCTGATGAAGGTCCATTAAAGTCATGGAATCCATGACCTCCATGATGAAATCATATCCTTAGCAATTAGGAAAACCACTGGGTAGGTGCCTCACACATTTCTGATGCCACTGAATAGGAGTGCCTGGAATATGATGTAGAAAAGGGCCCAACGGATTACAAAAAGGCCACTGGACAGGTGTATGCCCCAAATGACCTCCTGGCCAACCACTTGATGGTACTCCTGTCGCAGGATCCATGGAGGGGTGAAAACGTCTGGAGGAGGGGTAGTGAGAGTGGCTGCGAGGATGGGAGATTTAGAACTGGATCTCTGATTTGGAAGACGACGACTCTCCTTCCGTTGACCACAAAGGCACCATTCCAGATGGTGCCAGCAATCAGTTCTGAATTGGAGAGACCTGCAGCGATGTGAGAGTCATGGAAGGATGAGCCCTCAAAGGTACCCAAGACTGTCACAGTACCGAGCACTGTAGCAATCCTGCTGGTTATTCTGTCTGTCGGCACTGACAGCATCAGCTCTTGTGCTACTAGTGATGCTGGCACCGACAGGGTCACGGGGTCCCCGGCAACTACCAATGCCTGTGGCGTAATAAAGTAGATAGTGTATCCTGTAGAGATCATCTCCAAAACCTATTTGACTGTCGTGACCGACTCCCAGCTCTGCATGAATTGGTAAAGGCAGTCACCTAAGGGACGAAGGCAGGGAAATCAGAGCACCTGATGAGGATGGTAACTCAGGTCCTCCACTAACCTGTCAAAATTGCTGCTTTGAGGTGGACAGGTGCAAAGTGGGAGGCTCAGAAGTGTATGGTTTCCCTCTCTGGCATCTCTGTCTCTTTTGGTGCAGTTCATATGGCCGCTGGGAAGTCAGGAATTAGGCCAGGTGGGATCTCTGAGCCGTCTGGGACTTGCTGAGCTTCTCCTGTAGGTGGGAGTATAAATTCTAAGAGAACGTAAGGTAGCTCTAACATCCTTTCATGTTTGCAGAGATTCATCTGTGCTGTCTGGGATCAACTTAAGCCCATCAAAAGGAAGGTCTTCCACCATATTCTAGAACAATTTTGGAAATCCAGAGTTGCAGCCAAGTGGTCCTTCTCATACTGCCGCCCATTTGATCGCTACAATGATAGTTAGCAGCAGCATCAAGGGAGGCTTGTAGAGCTGTTCTGGCAAGTAGTTGTCCCTCTGGAATAATTGCCTGGAATTGCTCCCCAGTAATTGCCTGGAATGTGCTCTGCCAGTTGGTAGTGGAGGGGGGAAGGGGGAAAGGGGAAAGTGATAGCTTAAATGATTGTATTTTGCCATTAGCGCCTGGTAATTGGTGATTCTAAATTGTAAGGAGACGGAGGACTAAAATTTCCTCCCCAGTAGGTCCGATGTCTATGATCTTTTTCATGAGACATGATGCTGCCTTCCATGTTCATTAAATGCATCAACTACCAAAAAGTTAGGTGAGGGATGAGAAAATAAAAATTCAGAGTCCTTGGTTCAGACATAATATTTCTTACCCACTCTCTTGCATGTAGGGGGAATAGTATCTAGAGTGTGCCAGACAATCTTCACTGGGTCCAGAATAGCTTAATTGACAGGCAAACCTATGCAGGCAGGTGATGGTGAGTGGAGGATATAAAGCAATTTATTATGAGGTTCTTTCATCTCCTCGAGAGGGATCTATCTGCAAGGGGTCAGCAGTTCTCCTGATCAGATCCCAGAACTGCTTAAAATCATCCACCAAGGATGGAGGAGGTGGTATGCCAGCTTTATCCAGAGATGAAGAGATGTTAGTCATAGGAGAGATGACTTCTTTGGCTATAGCTTCCTGCTCGTCAAAGGATTCTTACCGAGGGCCAGGTCTCCTGAAAGGAGCAGTTGATGCAGGTTGCCTCTCTCTGTGATGTGGCTCAACAGTCTGAAAAATTGTTGGCAATAGGCTGTCCAAGAGTGCCAATATGGCCAAGGAGGAGGTGCATAAGGCATAGAAAGAGCAGACTTTTTTGGGTTCTCATACTAGTGAGACATTGGTTGCAATTTTGTGCCATGAGTAGTTATAGCCTCACCAGAGGCTTTTGGAAGGGGCTTCTATAGGTGTGAGGGGGAGAACCATGAATCAATATTTGAGACACCTAGGACATCAAATTCTCTTTCTCAAACTCACTCTGGAATGGTGGAGTGCCTGGAGGGCTCTGAGGTGAAAGCGTTGGTACCAGGTGAAGGTCAGGCGATCTCGATGTTCTTGGTACCAACACGTAGGAGCTGAGCAGTCGAGAATCGGGCATCTCAGATATAGCCAGTTTCTAGGGAAAATGGAACTCCTGCAGTACCAAGACTTTTATCAGTACTGAGTCTTTGGTCTGCACTGAGGTGATGGTGGCTGAGGACGCTGATGATACCTTACATCTCAGGCCCCCCCAGGGAAGCACAGTCAGAATCCAAGTGGGCGTCTTCAATACTGAGGAAGCAGAGGAAAAGCTCTTCTTGCCACCTTGGTCTGCTAACGGTACCAATGATCTCTCCTAGCCCAAACCTTTACTGTCTTTCAGCCTACTGGTGACCTGGGTACAATGGCACTGGAACAATTTTCATAGTGGGGGGTGCTGAAAGCCATTGAACAATGTAAACACTGTATATTATGGAAACCACTTCAAGCAAGGGGATGCTGCCACACACCCCAGACCTCCTGCCTGGGTATCTCAGGAATCAGCAGCCTTGTGGGTAGCTAATTGGAGAGCAGATGGTGCCAGAGTTGCTGAAGACATTGACAACCTTGGCTTTTTAGAGGTAGATTCTCTACCTGGTGAGCCAGGGGCATAGTCTTTTGAGGACTCATGAGTGGAATCCTGTGTCTTCCTTTTAGATGCCATAGAGGTGTGGGGTCTGATACCATGGAGGCAGCAGATTTGCACAGAGACTGGCCTGGGGGGGGCATCCCTTGGCCGGGTCAGAAGCCAGGGATAGAGAGTTCTCCATTGAAGATGAAGCTTTAGTTCCCTGATTTTTCTGGCTCTTGAGATGAATGCCAGATAGAAGTTGCAATGGATCAGTTCATGAGACTGACTATCATGATCCAAGGCACAGGGGGTGAATAACACAGGCTCCAGGAAGCATTGGCCCCTTCTTTAGAGACTTATTGGAAGAGATGGGAGTATGTGAAGCGCTACAAGGTTCCACTCACGGTTTACCCAAATTTATTCCATTGGAGCATGCGTTAGAGCTTTCACCTGGAGAGCAGGGGATCCTGCCCCCAGAACCCACATATTGTTGGGGATCTCCTCATGGTACAGGGCCATCCACAAGTGGGCAAGATAGTGTCATGGAGGTGACTGAATTCACTTCACACAAGACACGGGGTGAGCCACATACTAAAGGACTTCTCTCTGTGGCAATCTGGGTTGGGGGGGAGGGGAGACAGAAAGAGAACAAACTCTGGTTTCCAGAAAATCTGGACTCTCATTATCAGAGGGTTAAATTATAACAATACTCCTGGCTCCACCTCTTCCTGTTTTAGACAGTTTTCATTTGTTTTTAATTATCAAAGGGACAAATTCTGAAGACTATCCTCAGTTTTTCCTCAGTCCCTACTCAATAAAACTCTCATTGCAGCCATTGGGATTTTACCTGAGAAAAGACAGAGTAAACATTTGAGAAAGAACTTCAGGATCTGGCATAGGAAGAACTGTCTGGAAGAAACTGTCATAGTTCAAAATGACAAAGACTGAGGGCACAAAACAAGGGAGGTGGTGTGTGTGTGTGACTCAGATTCCAAATATGATCCATATCATATCAATGCCACCTGTGAGTTAAAGAAAACAATATATCTCTAATCCCCAAATAAAACTTTTCATTTGAATAAACTGCTGACTGCTGTAGACTTAGAACTATTAGCCTATAACTTCGATGCCACACCGTTTGCAGCACATATACTCAAATTCATACTTTTCTCCTGTTATTTTTTTAATTTTCAAATATTTCCTTGTATTCTGAAACATATTCTGTTACAGATTTTCATTTTCCTCCCGTTTTAGTGTGTCAAATCTTTAAACTGTTATCTGCTAACAGCTTGAAATGGATACATGGTGAACATGAGATTCATCACTATGTTCATATGTGCATGCACTTTGGAGTTTGCATGCGTGCCTGTCTGTTTATTGTGTGTATCTTCTAGACTAATACATAACCATACTTCAAGAGGTAGCTTTGCATATATATGCAGACTAGTGTATAATCATGCAACGTACTGTGTTTTCCTAATAAAACAAGTTATTTTTTATATATTTGAATAATACAAAAGTAGGGTGAAAATCAAAAAAAAGAAAAGAATACTTTTTTGTAAAACCTGGGATTTTTTTGGTAAAAATCAGTTTAAACTGAAAACGTAGGGGCTTATTTGTACCATATTATGTTATTTTCACAGGTGCTTTTTCCAAGTCAGTCAAAATAAACTTTTAAAAATAAAACCTCTGAAAACATGTCTAATTCATTTCTCTTTATATTGTCAATTGCATTTATTGTATAATCATTTGAGCTTTGACATTTAAAACATATAAAACCAAAAGCAACTTACAGATACACGTTGGAATAGGTAACCAGCCATTCTTTGTGCATTCCACTGTCTTTTCCTTATTCCATTTCAAAGTGAAATCCACTATTACAATCTATGCTGATTACATCCTCTTCCTTGAGCTCTGACTTTTGAGGGTGGCAGGTTCCACTATTACAGTTTAACAACTGGAAACAGGACATTAGGTCCTAAATCACCCCTTCAATTGAGACTATTTGACTTTTTTTTTTTAAATTAACTTCACTAGCATTGTTGTATCCGAATATCTTTTGTATAAAATTGGCAAGGTGAAATTCCGATGAACTTGAAATCTACAGCTGGAGTATTTGCTTGCAATAATATATTTTATTTTGGCAGTGAGAAGGGGGCATTGGTGGATATAAGTGTCATTCTGATTATCGTGGACAAACTTTCTCAAAAAATGAAATCTTGCAGTGAGACCTAAAGGTGATCAGACTGGATTTCTTTTATCTCTTCTGGCAGTTCATTCCATACTGGTCTTCTATTGTGTGTAGTTGGATGGAATACGTGGGCTCAGATAGTTCAAGGTGTTAACACTACCCTGTCACAGTACAGCACAAACATAGTTCAGGATTTTGAGTACAGAGTCCTGAGCCTGCTTAGTCCCAGGGCAAACACACTATTAAAATCATTTTATAATTTTAAAGACACATAAAAAGGAAAAACAGTTACAGCATTTGATATGTAAGGTATCAATTAAAGTTTTTATTTTAACACTATCCCTCTTTCATTTCCCAGTTCCATATCGAAGTAAAATCCATTATTACAGGCTACTTCGATTTCATCCTCCTTATGGACATGAAGTCTTCTCCCATCTTTGGAGTTTGGAGGATCTGCTGAGGGTAAAGTTATTTTATTTTTTTAGGGGGGAGTGGGTAGTTGTTATGATAAAGCCTTTCCACCATAATCAGAATGGTACTTCTCAAAAAGGCAATTCTTGCAAGTGAGACCTAAAGCTGGTCTGACTGGATTAGTCTAATTTCCTCTGGAAGTTCATCCCACAGCTGGATTCCTTTCACCAAAAATGGCTTGTATGTGGCACTTTCTCCTAAGCTTGGTGATCATCTTGTCCCAGAGAAATCAACTGCATCCCTAGTTGCTAAATGGAGATGTGATTTCCAATGTAGCTAGGATCTGGTCTATTACTGGCTTTGTGATCATGCTCAGGAGACCCCCCACAATATGTGAGGTCTGGGGACAGAACCCCTGCTCATTCCAGGACAAAATTCTTCCTCCTCTTCTAATGGGATTCTCTACATAATGGGATTCTCTAATGGGATTCTCTGAGTGGACCCTTTAAAGGTTCACCCTGAGAACAGGAATGCTAAGTATAATCCTTAGTGCTCAAATGAGGCAGGGCTCCTACAACTAGGGCAGCTTTGCTATACAACCCTGATTCATCCCCAGAGCAGGTCCACTTTAATAGTAAGGTTTCAAATGGATCTTCCTTTGCTTCTACTAAACCCAAATAGCCCTTATCTACTCAGGAATCACCCCATTCAGGTCTCTGACCTAGAAAGTCACACCTACATCACATATATTTTACTATATGACATCATGGGAACGGACAAAGCAGGCTTGGTGTTAGAAATCACTCTACAGGGCCTCCTTTGTACTATCAGTATATGTCCGGCACCTATCCCCAGGGTACCTATACATCAGACCCACATGCCAGAGCATTTGCTATAATCCATGTACAACTGAATATGGGAGTGATACAAAACACAATTGCTAAACTATGAACACAATGAATATAATTACAATTCACTTAGTGGAATAAATAATTCTGGAGAAGAACCAGGAACAGGGATAGGAGTACATAGTGAATTTCTACAAACAAATACAGAAATACTAGGAAGGGTCACCTGCTTTTGCACAATGAACTCTGCAGTATTTTGGAGGATGCACTGAGCCCTGTTTTATCAGGCAGTAGCTCCGGCATTCAGAAATATTTTCTAGAACTACACAAAAAGGAGGCTGCATAACTTACCTTTCCCTATCAAAGATTTCATTCACTGTTTTTAACTGCTTTCTCCAGTGTGCGGTACATTCTGCTTTTTGCCCTTGCAAAGTGGAGCTGGAGATGTCACCACTTAAAGCCATGACAAGATGGTTCAATCTCATGTTAAATATTTTGTGTTCACTGCCATCCCTCACTTGTTTCATTTCCACCTCTGAATCCCTCTGTGCTATTGAAAACAGCCATTACTGTAACTGCCCACGGCTTTGTGTGATATCAGGCTTGTTTAGTATCCCTGCACGCGAGAGAAGGGTTAAGCCAAACTGTTGTTTAATCTTTTGATTAATTTTGTCTTTTACCTTGTCCCCTAGCACAGAAAGCCCAGAGTATCTGAATGATGAGACAGCTCAGCAAAGTCATCCTGTGCTTGATGAAGTAAACCCAGCGCTTGTAATGGCAGCCGTGGAGCTTTGTTCATCTCTGGATCCTGTCCTCACCAATTCCTTTTGAAGGCTTTCTAACCCTCCACCCCCAGAGCTCTCCCCACGTCCCTCTGTCAACATCATGGTACAGAGATAACATGTGTAAACTCCCCCAGGAATACAGCCCAAGTTATTTTTTTAATATCCTCTTTGATTGAACAGAAGGTCTCTGCTCACCACATTTCCTCACTCCTTTACTCTATAACCTACCAGCAGCCATGTATAGCACAAATCCTTGATTAGAAACGTGCACAAAGTTGGAGTCATGACAAC